GAAGTGCGTGAGCTGGGAAGGCCCACGTGACTCGCCTCCAAGCCGGCGTGCCCGCCTTAGCCCTCCCTGCTGCGACTCCCACCGCCTGGGAAGGCTCCTACCCTGCGCAGGGCCAGTCCTGCTGCACCCGAGCAAGTGTGCCTGGCCCGGCGGGACACCAGCGTCGGCATGCACATGCAATCACGCTCAGCCAAAGGGAAGCGCAGGTGTGCACAGCACCCACTGGATTTCCTTGCATTCTTCTGCCAGCACAGCTCTCTCACCTCATGGAGAAATAAGCATGGTTTACTAGTGACCAGCTGCAAAATCCTCTCACCTTTTGAAAGAAACAAAGAAAAAATACCCACGAGCCCCCCCTTCCAAGTCAGTCTCATATGCTGGAGATGAGGATTTTTATTCTCTTTGTACCCACTGCCCCTTTCCTTTGCTAGTTTTGCTGGTGCTGTTTTGTTTCATTTAACTTGTTTTTTGTTTTTGTTTTTGTTTTTTGCAATACTGGTGATTGAACCCAAAGATGCTCCACTGAGCTACTTCCCCAACCCCTTTTCTATTGAGACAAGAGCTTGTTAAATTGGCCAGGTAGCACTTGAACTTGAGATCTTCCTGCCTCTGCCTCCCTGGTGGTGGGATTACAGGCACAAACCGCAGCTCTGGCTGCACTAGTTTTTTAAGAGTGCCCCTATCCTACAGAGCATTTCTGCCCAGGCAGGAGGGATCAGGTGAGCATGCTGGCAGCACTGGTTTCAGGCTCTGTCCTGCACGGGAAGGGATTGTCTATGCATGCCGACCTCATCTGTTGTGGTCACTGGTGAGCTACGAGGTCCAGGAAGCAGCTGTCCTGAGGGAAGAGCACCGTCCCTGGGGTCACAGAACCGGGGACCGCAAACAGGTGTGTGCAGGAAGCAACCACGGGCATCCAAAGGACGAAGTGACAAAGGCATCCTTTGCTTCTGTGCCTGGAACAGGCACACCAACTCACACAACACTAACAAGGATGCGGCGGGGCCGGAAGCTCTTCATTCTCCACCCAGGTAAGATGCTGCCCACCTCGGAAGGCGCCACAGAACCCTTCTCAGGGCCACCCCAGCCCACCAGGTGGGATCAGGCGGCTGCAATCACGATGGCAAAGTGTTTCTACCCCGACGAGCCAGAGAAACGGCACACTGGTTTTGACTGCTAGGCCGCAACCCCAGGGTCACCGCACGGTGGGACTACGGCGTTGCTCTGTCAGGTATTTCTCAGGCTTCCGCACTCCTCGCAGTCGCTATGTTGATGTCATTTTGTACTCGGTTGGGATTGAGATTTTTCAGCACCGCTCTGATTCTCTCCATATCAACCCAAACATCCATGGGCCGCGCCCACCCACTCTGACACCCTTTGGGGTTGTCCTATCACATCCAATATCCTGCAGGAGCCAGAGCTGAGTTTTCTGGCCAGAATACAGATGTCAGCCCACGGGCCATGTTTCTCATGAGTCCACACTGAAAGATCCATGGCGGCTGCCGGGCCTATGGGGTAGTGACGGCTCGCTGAGACACAGGCTCGGGGTGCTCCTGCCTGACAACTGCTGTTCGCTCTGTCCAGAACTAACTCTCCCCAGGACACACTGGCCTGCCCGGCCTGAAAAGGACCTGCAGGGCCTGGGTCAGCACCTACCCGCTGAGCTGGCTCTGAGTCTGCTGGCCAGCCTGGGGAACACCATGGGCCTGGCCTGGCTGCCCTCCAGCAGCTGTGACAGGAGCATCTCTCTGCCAAATATGAAATGCCCCCAAACAGGCTTCTGCTGGTGCCCAAGAGCCGCTCCCTAGGTGCACACGCCCCGCCAGGGCATTTGGAATTTGTTCTGCCCTTCCCTAAGGCCATCTGTCCAAATGAAGTCTGGGCATATTTGTGGCACTGACAGAGCGGCCACAGCACCCTGATCCCCAGCCACACCTGTTCCTGACTTGCCAGCTGAGCAGAGGGCTGGCACAGGGCAGGCACGGAGGGTCAGATGGGTGATGATGAGGTGTGCCCTAAAACGCAGGAGACGGGGGGTGCTCGGCCCAAGACTCAAGGCCCTTTACTTCAAAAAACATCGAATCTAATGAAAGACAGCGATAGACTCTCAGTGCACGTTACTCCGTGAACAACTGCAGGCGCAGTTCCGGATGCCAGCTGGCAGGGCAGACACAGAGCTGGCTGATCGCCTCAGGACGAGAGGAATACTCCGTGTTTTCCTCGGAGTCCGGTAAGATAGCTGTCAGTTCCCATCGCTAAGAGCAGAAACCGCCTACCCACAGGATCAGCACAGGTCTATGACAGCGATGATAAGATTTTTAAAATCCTTTGGTCAATAGGTATTCAAGAGGAAGGATGATTTATTGGCTTTGTGAAGGCTGAAAGAGTGTGTTTGATGGTAGGAGTCTCTGGTAGATGGTCAAGCGCAGCCCTCCCTGAGTACAGTGGTCTTCCTGCTCCAAATACAAAGTGCACAGCAATACTGCATCTCCTGCAACAGAGCGGCTCTCTGTCTCTGTCTCTCTGTCTCTCTGTCTGTTTCTCTCTCACTTCTTATGAGATGAACAGCCATACACAAGCTGTACAGAATTGTGCCATCAAGGAAATGAAAGGTCAAACATGTAAAGGATGTGTTCTCAGCTGGGGAGTTAGCTCAGTGGCACAAGTGCCTGCCTGGCAAGCACAGGTCCTGAGTTCAATTCCTGGTACCAAAAAAATAAATATATAAAAGCTGAATTCTCTTTACTAGTTTAGTATTTTTCAAAAGAAGCTCCCAGAAGCCCTGGGCACCTCCGTGCTCCCAGGGGCCTTTCACGTGAAGTGCCAAGGAAGGGAGCCCTTGGTCCCTTAGCACAGGCTCCAGGGCATCAGGAATGAAGACAACCTGCTGAGCGAGTGCATGTGATCACGTGAGTACACAGCAAACGCGTTGCCTTCCTATCGAGTTCTCAGCCAAAGAGAATTCTTCGGATGCGTTACTCTCTCGCACAAATTATAAAATGGAAAACTGAACAACAATTAATTTTCAGTAGCAGTAAATGCCACATACACACATACCTTTACAGTTATAACAGTAGCAGTAAATCCCACACATACACACAGAACTTTCCAACAGGACCAAACCTAGCACCAAAGTCCTTTTAAAACAGTCCTACCATCCCGCATCACATGTTAGCAGTTACTGCTGCTCCTCCATGTTCCTTTATTAGGAGTTGGGATTAAAAAACACAGTCGGGGACTGAGAAGAAATGAATATTTTAGCAGAGTGCTGTGTCCTCTTGTCTCTGGGAAGACCATAGAAAAGGATGCACCTTCGCTAGAACTTTCAATGAAGCAAGGGCAGATTTGAGCAGAGAAAAACTATTCGGGAAAGAAGACAGTAAGAGATAGAAAGGGCTTGCAAGCCGAGGCGTTAGAAATTGTAAGAGCTAAGTGAAAGAAGCCAAACATGAAGCCCGTGGATCTGGGATCCATCCATGTGAAACATCCAGAGCAAGAAAGCCACAGAGACAGGATTCCTGGGGCTGACGAGGGGGGAGTGGGAGAGGGGACCTGGGGATTCTCTGCGATGCGATGAGAACATTCTGCAATCAGATTCTGATGACAGCCTACGGCCATACCATCCTGAACGCGCCCGGTCTCGTCCGATGGTGATGATATTTGCACAAGTCTGCGAATAGAATAAAATGCCACTGACGTATACATGAATTGCACGGGTTGTTTCTATCCCACTGAGGCAGGGTTATTAAATACTCTGAGCTCCATGGCTAATTCCAATGAAAGACAAGAGTTGAAAGGAAGAACAAAGGAAGACAGATGATTTAGGCAGCGCTTTTCTCCAAGTGATTTTAAAACTCTGTAACAGAGGATCCACATCTGATGGTTTCTTTTATTCTTTATGTAGAACTAAGTGCAACGTTACACCAAGACCACCATGAATTATGGTGGGCGACCCTGGGAGCTATCCTTGCGAAGATTATAAAGACAGTCAAACTTTCCATCCTACTCTCCGGGATCTGTCTCTAAGCTGTCACACACACTGTGACCGGACACCGCCCTTCTGATCTGACGCCGCAGTACAGCCCCGTCCTGGACCGCTTGTCCAGGCATACTGAGGTTCCTCTGCTTTACCAGGTTCTGCTACCTTTACGAAGAACAGCATCACGCTTGTATTTTCATGGTAGTCATCTAATTTTCACTTCCTTAAGATTAAATTAAAAAATCTTAAAATTCACAAGTTTTGCCTATTCAGTTATTTTTTTCTTTTTGTAGTATCATCATTTCATCAGGAATCAGACTGCTAGGAATGTTGACTAAACTACATGCAGGTTTAGAGAGAAGACAATATGTTTAGCTAATACGGATAAGCCGCAATTAAGAGAACAGAGCTAGGTGGAGTGGCACATCCCTATAATCCCAGCACTCTGAAAGGCTGAGGTAGGGGGATCACAAGTTCAAGCAACTTAGCAGCTTAGCAACATAATGAGACTGTCACAATAAATAAATGAAAAATATGTAAATAAACAGAAAACTGAATGACAATATAGAAAATGATTATTTTTACTTATGATAAATAAATCATAAGATATGTTTATCAAAATATGATCATAGGGTTGTCTTTTTTTAAGAGTATACAAAAAGTGCACCTCTATCCTGATACATTACGGGCAGATATATTATGACCCCTATTTTACAGATTGAAAATTAGTAGAACAAGAGAGACTGGGGCTCGTAGAGCTGGGAGTGTGTCTGTCTCCTCTACTCTCAGTATTCTCGCTGCCACAATGGGAATCAAATGACAGCCATGGACCCCAGTGGTGAACATGTGGACCAGGAGTCTCTGGAAAGCTGGAAGACAGTCAGCACTGCCGAAGTATTGAACATGAACATCGGTGCCATCCTACTGCTCAGACTGAAGCAGAGATTTCAATCTAGAGCTGGGAGCCATGAAGCTATGGAGAAAACCAACACTGTGGGGTCAGCCTTGGCTCGGCACATACCTGCGGCGATGTAGGAGCCCCCGCCGGCTTTGTAGAGCAGGTGGCTGGAGAAGGGGGCTGCACAGATGATCAGGAAACTGGCATTCACCACGGCCACCACCCCGAGGAGCATCAGCACTGCCCAGAAGCCACGGTAAACTGGAGACCCCAGAGAAAGGGGGAGAGAAAAACACACTTAGATTGTGGACACAGCCATCTGTCCTAGCAAGCTGCTCTGCCCATGGGTCCTGAATTATCTGTAACAGGAGTTCTCATCTGATGACCTTGGACTCAGAGATGTCCATGTTGGTGACCTTCAACGGCCCAGGTACTTAGAACCTGCATCCCACACATACCTCACACACAACAGGGTTCATCTCTCTGACCATATTTCCCATCTTGTAAGTGGGAATACCCAGAGTTCTTTCCAGGAGGGTTACATACACCTGTCTTACACCAAATGCAGACACAAAAAGCATTTACATTACTTACAAACACTACCTCATGTTTGTACAACAGAGATCCACTAAAAGATGATTAATAAATCAACCCAAACCCCTAAACACAAAGGACACTTTTATTTAGCTCACGGTTCAACTGGAAAATATTCTAAGGCAATAAAAAATGGCCAGCAAGACCACAAATAAAGTTTGTACAGCTCTGCTTTCTAAGCAGATCCAACACGTTATATCACATAAACTTAAGAAATACCACTTTCAATTAATATTTATACTCAGAGTGAGAATAAGAAGTTCAGGAGTCACTTAGTCAAGGACAAGCAAGGCTTAATGAATGGATGCAGCTGGTGATAAATGGACTGTGGGTTTGGTGATATATAGTAATCAAAAGAAAAGGAATTTTAATGATCATTTTTGAGCTGGATAATTACCACTCTATTAAACAAATTCATCATTTCTCTAAGGCCACCGCACTGAAATGAATGCTTGGTGGTGTAAATGGGAAAAGTGCAATGAAACATATTAGTCAATTTGGGGCTGCTATAACATGTTATCACTTTTTAAAGAAAATATAGAAACTTTATTGAAAAGCCAAGAATTACGTTTCTCAGCAAGCTTGCCTTCCAAAATGAAATACATCAATCTGCTCTAACCTTAGAGGAAAGAGGATGGGAAGGGAGAACATGGAGAAGAGAAGCTACCACAGCCGAATGGGAAAGGAAGGCTGGAGGATCCGTGTGGCTCAGCCCTGCAGGTGGGAAGGAAAGGGTGGCTTTCCCCAGGCACCAGCCCTGGCCACTAGGGCGGCTTCCAGGTCTGCCCAGCTGGGGAGCATCCTGCCGTTATGGGCTTGGCAGGGAGCACAGCAGTACGGAGATACAGCCGCATCCAAATGCACGGGTCCCGCATCTGAGGCTATAACCAGCCTGAGATAGAAAATACTTGAAAAGAAACTGCAGCTGTAATGGAAACGTACAGACTCTTTTCTTATCATTATACCCTAAACAGTACAGTAGAACAATGACTTATATAGCATTTGTATTCTGCTAGGTATACAGGAGGATGTGTGTAAGTCCTTTGCAAATTCCACACCATGCTGTGTAAGGGACTTGAGGACCTGCAGATTCTGGGCTCCACAGGTCCTGCAGCACATCCTTTATGGACGCCAGGACACAACTGGCTTAATGCTAGCTCTGAGTGCACACTGTGGGAGCAGAAGACTGTGGACCCAACATCTGCCAGCCTTGTCCTCCCAGAGCTCGTTACCTAACGGAGGGACCTGCACTCTTTATGTTCGTTCTCCTCATTTATAAAAAGCTTGGCCAGAGAGTTCAGAAGCAGCCCGAGGAATGAGAAGCCCATTGATCCCTGCTAGATCACAAGGAAACCTGGGTAAGAATAGTAACACCTGTCCAAGGAGGCAGGAATAGGAAGTGGATTGAGGAGGGATGTTAGACCTTAGGGAAAGACTCAGCTTTATAGAGTTTCTGTGATTTTGTTTTTTGTTCTTTTTTTTTTCTTTCTAGGTTTAGATAACTTAGGAACTGTGCAGAAAATACAAATAGAAAAAAAAAAAAATGTGATTTTGTTTTTTGTTCTTTTTTTTTTCTTTCTAGGTTTAGATAACTTAGGAACTGTGCAGAAAATACAAATAGAAAAAAAAAAAAAAAAACTTAAGGAAATCTACCCTTCTGTCCAGAGACACAGGAAGGGGGCTCCTTGAAAGTCAGAGTGGAGGATCCTCATGTTTATTTTTCTCTGTCTTGTTTTCCTTTTCAGCCTGCCTCTAGTTCAGCTTCAAACACAGCTCTACAGGCAGGACAAGGGCCCTTCATTATACAAGCAGGAATCTGGGTCGCGCATTTTCTCTTTTGTCTTGCTGTCTTCTTCCATGACATGATTGCATAGAACAGCCACCCTTTAGGAGGACAAAACTCTAAGAAAATTCAATCTTGTTGGCCTGAGACACTGGAGAAGGGGCCGTAGCAGCCAGAGGGTATGGAGGAAATCCACAGAGAGCTGGAGAAGTTTCTGAAGGTCTATGTTGGAAGCTGCACAGCACCATGCCGACCTGCAAGTTGTGCAGGCACAGAAAATGCCCAAAGAAGTAGCACCAAGTCTTAGAGAACTGAATTACAGTATAAAAACCACCTCAGACCAGATCAGGTTCTGAGTGAGCACACCCCAGACGTGCCACACAGGACAAACCCACGGCTTTGCAAGAGGAATTGGCATTGACATCTGCCAATTCAAAAGCAAAGGACAGAGCAAGAAGGCCCACTACTTGTTAAAACAAAACAGCAACAAATCCATACTCTCCAGAGAAGTGTGACAGTGGGCAAAGCCAGACACTGTCACATTCAAAGATGACTAGAACGCAAACTTGAAATTACCCAGTACACCAGCAACCACGAGAATTTGACAGATTCCCAAAGGAGCAGGCAATCAGAAAATGGCACCAACCCACAGACGATTCCGATGGTGAGTTACCACATGGGTATTAAAGCAGCTGCTAGGACGAGTCTCCGTGAATCCTCAACATGAACAGGAGAGAAAATCTTGAAGAGACACAGAGTCTATAACAAATTTTTTAAATCAGAAAAGACAACCTCTGAAAGTTAAAAATCCATGACAGAATGGAGACGGAAGACAAAAGACTAAGTGACCCTGAACAAAGAACAATTAAAAACTGTCCAATCTGAATAAAAGCAAGGAAGAAAATGCTGGGAAGCAGTGGAGTCCAGAGGCTTAGTGGATACAAACAGAAGTCCTCACATTTGTATCATTAAAGTTCATAGAGCAGAGGCAAGAGCAGAACAGTCATAAAAATAAAGGCCTAAATATCTTCCCAAATATGGTGACAAGGAAATTTACCCAAATAGGGAACTCCAAAGGGGATAAATTCAAAAAAACTTTCCTGGACACATAGAAACAGTCTAGAGACAAAATGGTCAAAGCAGTCTGCCTTCTAAGAAATCACTGGCCATGTTCTGTCAGTGTAATTCTCATGCTAAACGCTTAAAATATTACGACAGGGAAGCAGCCGCCCGCACAAAGGCAGCTGACGTTGCTCTCTGGCCCGCGACTTCTGGCCATGGTTCACGAGGTGACCCGGAATAACCAGCGTGAGCCCTTAGGAGCAGGGAGGGGAGGGCGGTACAGGTGGAGCTGGAAGGAGGCGCTGGGAGCTGGGTCGATACAGCAAGGATGCACCAAAGTCAAGAGCTCTGGAATTGGGAATGAGGATTTGCAGAGGGCAGAGAGGGCAGAGTAAATGTCTACATGGGGAAAAGAGAGGGTGTAAGAAAGAAAACTCATGGTGAGGGAGAGAGAGCAGAACAGGAAGAGGGAACAAATGTTCCCCACAGCTGCCAGCAGCTGGTCTCTGTCCTTTTCTCTGCTCTAGCAAAGTAAGCTGACTTTTGAGTGTGATTCCTCCTTGGTCAGAAGCAGGGGTAACAGATGGGTATTTACAGGAAGGGGTGGGGCTGGCTGCCCCTGGTCTGACCACACAGAAATTGCCTCCAAGTCAGATTCTTGAGTGTTGATACCACCGGCTTCATTTTCCTGCCTGTGCTTCTAATGCTGGATCCACAGTGCATACCTTCAAGCGTATTATACCATTTCTCAGATTTCCTGTTTTCTAGCTGATTACGTAATATAGTTTGTGTATGCAACACACTTTGATTCCAGAATAAAATGTTCAGTCATAATGAAGAATAGGCTTGTGGAACTGGGTAGAGGTTGGCCACTACTTAAAATAAAACTAAGACAGTCAGAGAATCTTCAACATGAAAGGAAGTAAATGCATGTACTTTGGGAGTCAAGTGTGATACTGAGGCTCCTTTGTGTATAGATGGGGCCTTGGTTGTCTAACAGGGAAGCAATATCTTCCACAGGTTCACAGTGAGGACTGAGATAATATGTGAGCAGCGTCTGCATGCAGTAAGCCTGCAAACACGTCTGCTGCACTTCCTGTTCGTCATCACAACTCAAAGCAAAACATTCATCAACAACACAGTTGACATTAACAAACATCTTTTAACCTGTGGCCTAGGATGGGGATATTCTACTACATATGTCAGAATATCCCTAGGTTTTCTGTGTGTGTGTGTGTGTGTGTGTGTGTGTGTGTGTGTGTGTGTGTGTGCAGTTTGTTTGTTTGTTTTTGTTTTTGCTTTTGTTTTTCCAGTACCGGGAATCGAATTCATGACCTTGCGCTTGCCAGGCAGGTGCTGTGCCACTGAGCTAAATCCCCATCCCCAATGTGTGCAGTTTGATGGAGGAGAGATATTACTGCCCTGTTAATTTTTTCTGTTGTTTCAGACTCATAGATACGGAATGCATCTCAGAGAACTCTGAGTTTGTTTCCTTATTCATTTACAAGAACCTATAAAAACTGTATGGCCTTGCCGCTGTTGGATTTGGACTATGCCAAGGAAAACATCCCTAAAAATCTACTTCATGCCATTCAATATTTAACTTAAACAATACTGAATTCCTGTTACAGGAAGCAAGATTCCTGGTACAGGAAGCAAGATTCATAATATTAATGGATTTACAGATAATCTGTATCAGCATAATTTGGGTTAACTAAAGGGAAGTTTCATCTAAATCTATGAAAAGTAATAAGTAAAGATACTTCTGAAGAAATTAAATTACATCGATTTTAAATAAGGAGGTCAACTGACCTGGCAATGC